TTTTGGGAGGGAAAATGGGGGTGTTACACCAACCCTAGCCATCGCGGGTGGAGAGGTTCAACACATCAACGCCGCCATCGATGTATGTCTAGATCTTCCAACAGCAACATCAGCTCCTCTAATCCAACGACGGCGGATTCCATTGAAGTGGACGATGAAATTTTGCGAAGAAGAAAGTGGAAGGAAAAAAACGTTATCGGAGAAGAAAGATGGAGGTGGTTGCAGAGGTGGAAGGAATGCCATTGTTGCTCCAGATCGGTGCTCCAGATCTGTGCGGAAGAAGTTTGGGCGAAGAGAAAGAAGGCGCAGATGATGCACGCAGACAGATCGGCGGATGCGACACAGAAGCAGATGACGGAGGCGACACAATGGCATCCGGTGGAAACAAGAGCCTGAGCGGCCGCCCTTGCTGGCCGCGGAGGTGAGACGGTGTTGTTTCTGTGAGGTGGGGAGATGAACTGCTGAACAGCTTGGAACATGGAGAGGATTGGTACGGACAGCTCTGGAGATGGAAATTTGGGACAGACTTTTTAGATTCCAACTCACTTGTTTGTCTTTCCCTAAATTAGTCACATTTTTTTCCAATGGAACTCCAGAAGTGATTTTTAGGTCATTGTTTCCATAAACTCAACTCCGATTTAAGTATGTACACAATATTATTTTTACACTTTAGTTGTTTTTGGTGTGATATTATGCTCTCATAATCTGGAGTTTATGAACTACCATCCAAAGCTGCTAAACAGTTAAAACTGGATCTGAATAAAATCAACCTCGTTGGTACTGGATCCAAAGGACGAATCTAGCGGAATTTACATCACCTGCTATCCCGGTTGCTCCTCCCACCACATGAACTCATTGCCTTCATTACTATCATCTCTCTTCTCAGTCGTTGAACAACTCCGTGAAGGTAGAAAGAATCATTGAGAGCAAGATCTCCTTCATCTCCTCTTGATGAGAAAAGAACCCAAGACGTCTCACATAAGAGAGATTAGACTTGAAGGTGGATGGTCATTCATTGGATTACACCCAACGACCTTAAATGTTTTTTTATCGTCAACGACCTGAAATGTTGATACACCTAGTGCGTGCGTCCCTGTTGATCGAAATGACTCGTAAATTTAATTGTTCAATCATTTAAAGTGTGGTATGAATCCGATAACATCTGATTTATTATTTTAGGGAAAACTGTCAAATAGGTCCTCGAACTTTCATAAAAAAGTCAATTAAGTCCTTTTATAGGAGACTCTGTCGAGTCGTCGCGATTTGGGGCGGTTCCCGGTGGAATTTTTTTATGAAATTTTTTGAGCATCTTATTCATCAAGTCTAGTTTACTCATACCAAATTTCAGCTAAAAATTTAATCGGGAGTGCATTCAAATTAATTCGAGAACGTAAAAATGCGCAGTTATCTTCAAGAATTTATTTGAATGTATTCCCGATTGAATTTTTAGCTGAAATTTGGTAGGCTTGGTGAATAAGATGCTCAAAAAGTTTCATCAAAAAATTCCACCGGGAACTGCCCCAAATCGCGACGGCCGGACAGAACCTCCTATAGAAGGACTTAATTGACCTTTTTATGAAAGTTCGAGGACCTATTTGACAGTTTTCCCATTATTTTATTTTATTAAGGATTGAAACAAAATGTTGTCGTTTTAAATTGTTCTTTAATAATACCTCAAATCAGAGGCGTATCCAGGGTGGGGGCAGGGGGCAGCTGCCGCCACTCAACCCCACCCAAACCATATATATACATATTCATTTTAAAATTTTACATATATTTTTGTGTTGAATAAAGGGATCTTATATACTTCCTCCGTTCTTAAATAAATGCAACGGTCAACATTTCACACTTGTCGAGACACAACTTTGACCATTAATATATATAATTTTGTATTAGTAAAAAAAATTAAAAAATTAGATTTTGAAAATTTACAATGAGACAAATTTAACAATATTATTTTTATAAAAAAATATTAATACAATAATAAATAAAATATAGTCAAAGTAGAACATGTGAATAGTGTAAATTTTCAATCATATATTCCATTTATCAAAGTACACAAATTTACAATGAGATAGTACGGAGTATTAAATACCAGAAATATACCAAATTGGGTCTGTAGCTGAGCGAAAATTTGCGCAGCAACAAGCAGTGATGTCCTACATAGGCTCTGTTTGCGACCACTTATGCTTAAATAAAAGCACTTTTGGGGAAAAAGTGATTAGTAGTAAAAGTTGATAGTGTTTGGTAAAATAAGTGCTTTTTGTGTAATAGAAAAAGTAAAAAGTAGATTCTACACAAAAATCGAGGAAGTAAAAGTTGGTAGTGTTTGGAAAAATAAGTGCTTTTTTCTTAAAAAAAAGCCAAAATCACTTTTTTTAATTGGTTGCAAACTAGCCCATATTGTCAAGGGTTTGAATCCCTGCTCCAGTTTTGTTTATTTTTTTTGTTGCTTTTTCCCTTATAACTTTATCTTTTTTCTTGTTGGAAAGATTTGAACTACATCAATATAGTTATCATTCTAGATTAACATATGAAATGATTTTGTCCATAATATAAACTAATTTATTAAATATACTTGTGAATTTTCAACTTAAATTCAGTACATGTTTGATCCTTCCCTTAGTTGATTCATTTATATATTGATATAATTATATTTTGCCCAAATTACAAATGTGATGTTCATGGGCGGAGCTAGGGGTGGGCCAACCTAGGCCATGGCCCACCCCAAAATTTAAAAATGGCTTAATTTTTAAGGTAAAAAAATCATGTAAATTTTTTCCTGAAAATATTCTTTGTACCGGCCTAGTTCGGCCCAGTGCCTTGGCTCCGCCCCTAGTACTGATGTGATAAACTTATTTCTAACAAAGTGAAATTTAATTAACATGATATCATAGTGTTTTTGTCTAGAGAATATTTTGTTATTTATAATTGATTTTACATTTTTTTCTTAATCTGATTAAGAAATAATACGTGCCTTGGCTCCGCCCCCACTAATGTATTTTTCTCGATATGCCATTGCCTCAAATATCATAATGATCGGATGTTGTTGAGTTTGAGTTTTAAATAGAGAGCACTACGTATTACGTAATACTCCCTCCGTCCCAGAAAATTCTTCCTAGTTTGACTTGGATCGGAGTTTAAGAAAGTGGGAATAAAGTGGAAATGTGTGGTTGTAGTTGTGTAAGAAAAAGGTGAAATGAATGTGAGCCACACAAATAATCAAAAAGGTGAAGTTGGAAGAATTTTCTGGGACGTCCCAAAAAGGAAAGTTGGAAGAATTTTCTGGGACAGAGGGAGTAGTAATAGTAAATAATACGGAGTACTTTCTCACTGCTACAATGTTTTTGGTGTAGTTATTGTTCTTTACTTGTTCCTTAAGATATTCTATTTGTACACCGCGAAGAAGTCGTTCTAGCTACTTCTTTGGTTAAAGACGGCTGCATTTACCATTTTCGTGGGTATAAAATACGACAATTTTTTGACCATTTCGTATGGGACAAAAATTAATGTCCACTTATTTCACCCGTCAAAAACATTTTTCATATCATAAATATGGAGAAACATGTGTCTACTTTTATGAAGGCACAGGATCCATATCGTGTGACTTTCTAGACATAAAAGAGAAAAGAAGAGCCCATGACATTCGGAAAAAGGTAATTGATATTACTTCGGGTTACGATATTTTTAATTTTCTAGTCTAGTATACGTCTGGTCTCTGTGTATTTTATAATTGTCCAAATTTGGTTTAGTCTGATCTGATCTGAAACTGAAAACAATCCAAATAAAAAACATCTTTAATCGAATCCTAAATTATAGTTCGATTAAAAACATCTTATTTTATTTGATTTAAGTGTCTTTATCAATTAATAGCACGACAATCGTTCCACATGTTGACCATAAAGGAAAAAATGATGTACAATAGATCGAATTCTGAAAAGGAAATCGCACCTTTTTTCTATCTTTTATCATTTCTTATTTTTTTGGTTATTTAAAAACATATGAGTGGGTTTTATTAAAATTGCCAATTCCTAAATATAGTTCTAATTAACCCATCGATCCAATTCATCAACTTCTAACTATATAGTACGTACTCCCTCCGTCCCTGAATATTGTTCCAATTGCGGATTACGAAAGTTGACCGACGATAAAGTTAAATGATCCATGTGAAAACTCGGACTATTTTTAGTAAATAAAATTTACATATTCAGAAATTTCATTAAACCCGCTACCAAAGCCTGCAAAAAAAATGAGATATTACCCATAATGGGACTAAAAAAGTTTGGAAATTCCAAAATAGGACTTCCATGTTTTTATTCCCAAAATAGGACTAATTACTGTCATGTTTTGGCAGTACCAGACTTCAAACATGACAGTATTTTCGAACTTTGGCAGTAATTGGTCCTATTTTGGGAATAAAAACATGACAGTCCTATTTTGGAATTTTCAAACTTTTTTAGTCCCATTTCGGGAACTTTCCCAAAAAAAATCAATTTTCATAAAGTTTGGATACAAAAAGTAAGAGTTTAAGAGTGATTTAAGTTGACTCTCGAAAAGCGGAATGGAACTAAATTCAGGGACAGAGGAAGTATTTAGAATGCTCTATTATTTTTTAAAATGACTCTTCATTTTTAAAGCCGCTCTTGGTGTGATAATACATAAGTCCCTTCCTTCTAGCTTTTGTACTGTTCAAAAAGTCTATAAAAACTTCTAGTTATATGTTTGACATGGCAATTTTTAAGAGTTTTTCAAAAATTAAAAGATCTTTTTTGAGATGCTACGGGGAGTAGTATCTGAGAAAAGCCTGTGACTTTTAGTACTAATTAGTCCTAACAGCTTGTATACCAAACCGAACTAAATGAAACAACCAACTTTTTACCAAACCGCTACCACCTTTTTCTTTTTAAGATCTTTTCAGTCACTAAAAAGCAATAGTTATTAAAAAGCTCATAAAAGTATCTTTTCTGCTAGTTTTGCCAAACATACCCTGATACCCATAAGCTCAACTCCGACATAAGTATGTACGTAATATTATATTTACACATACTCCTTTCACGGTATCTTTATACAGTACAACTCACAATTTAATCAAATAGCATGACAATTATTAACGATATTGTCTTCATATACAAGAGAAGCAAAAAGAAAGGAAATTGGTTCACGCGTCTTATAATAGTGCACAAATTATGACCACAAATTTATGCACGTACTAATGATGGTTTTCCCATCTGCCAAAAAAAATGATGGTTTTCCCAAAGCTTCAATCTTAGGTTTCACTTATTAGTACCAAAACAAGCCGTAATTATTTTAGTGTGAAGCCAACGTCATTCGTGCATGGAAAAAATCGAAACCAAAGTGTGGTGAATGATGTCAACCATCAATAGCTTGCGAGCTGCCCAAAGCTCTCAAACCCTCATAGAATAAGTTGGTGAAACAGTGCATTTGTGTAACGGGCAATGTCACGCCTACTTCGAGTCCACCTTCATGGTCCTTGGCTGCACCAAGAGAAATGGCTCCACTCAAATCAATAGAAGTAAATTCATGGTTCTTAGGTCTCCCCCATCCAAAATCCAGCCCATAATAGTCAAACTTGGGCGAGCCGGCAACACTCAAGGTTCGACCGAAGTTCAACTTCGAGATAACGGTAGGCCTGTCACGAGCACCTTTCAACACCCCCTCCTTTTCCTTATTGTATAATGTGCTTCGAATGCTCTCTCCTATCCCCTCACATGCCTTTCTCATCCCTTCATCTCCTATTAAGCTTTTTTCTCTTATGCTAGCTAGACATGGCACGACACAATTGCCAAAGTAGTTTTTAGCCAAGGGAGGGTCCAAACGTGCCCGACAATCGGCCGCACAAAGAAAATTCTCCATTTCTTCTAACTCCAGGCCATATTGACCCTCACAGTCTGGCCCAGTGCTCTGGTTCCGCCCCTGTTGACCCTCGTATGTCTGGCTTCTTGATCTCACCAGACAACTCCATGTGTATGAGCAAGTCACCGTAAATGTCGATACATGCAGAGATTTACGCCCTTGCTTGAGGATGTGATTCTTAAGTCGTTGAATGTCGTCTCGTGTCACGACAAAAGTGGACCTCACCTTGTCGATGGTACATGGAAGGCGATGAGCATTATGTGTTTTCTCAAAGTTGACGTTTTTCACACAATCCCAATAAATAGATGTCAGCTCCTTATGCTCTTTGAAGAATGTTCTATCATAATCCGGTACAAATTGAGGTGGCACGTCTTTGTGGTCTTTGTGACCGTTAGAGAAGAAAGTAATAGACTATTATAAATATGTGTCAGGACTCCTATAAATAGAGAAGAAAGCCCATGACTTCATGAATCCAAAGATGCTACTCCCATCACACACTGCATGGTGGTTAGTCACACCTATGCATATCCCGACATTGGGAAATAGTGTAATTTGTAACGCCAACAATGGGATTACGAGTGAGCCATCTGATGCTCGTGAAGTCAGGGGTAGTCTTGGATTTAGTTGATTGAAATCCATTGAACTTCTTGCATCATTTGACACAAAGTGGTTAAAATCGTTGGGGTTCGTCGAGTCAAACTCCGCGATAACCAACAGAACAGTGTCACCATTGGTGTAGCAAATTTCTGGTATGTTTGCCTTGTCGGGTGAGACAACCAATCTACCTGCTAAGGGGCGGTAACGTTGTAGGCTTTGGGATAAGGATTTTTTCATAATGGGAATTAGGGAATCCAAAAGGTCGGTTCTTCCCATTGGGTGGTGATAGAATATGAGTTGAGTCATTGGGGGCATGGCAGCCACTCCACATCGAAAAATGTTAGGGGAAGGGGGGGTCTGGCAATCGCTTCCTGCGGCGGGGAGACAGGAATTTGGTCTAATATGATGACGGTTTGGGATAAGGCCATGGAGTGAAATATTTTTCAGTGTTGGCTGGTGGTTTCCATATTTGAAATGGTCTTTAAATACTATTCCCTCAAAAACAAAAAAAAATCTTCTCACTTTCCTTTTTCGTCCTTAACGAAAAATCTTCCCGTTTCTAAATTTTCTCATCATACCTTCAATAATTTTGAAAATAATACATTATTAGAACCACTTTATTGGATTTTTCCTTCATTCCATCACATTATTCCACTATCTTCTCACCATACCCTCAATAATTTATATCCTCTATCACTATTCTTAATCTACCTACTTTTGAAATGTGAAGTTTTTTAAGCGATAGAGGAAGTACGAAATTATTATGCTCCCTTCGTTCCTTAAAATTTTGCCAACTTTTTTTATTGTCCCACTAACTTTGTCATTTTCTCTTTTAAGTAAAGAATTTGTGGTTCAGTTAACTCTCTCTCTTTTGCATAAAACTCAACCACACAGTTTGTACTTTAATAATGTCTGTGCCGGTCAAACTTGACCAAGTTTTAAGGGACGGATGGAGTAGAATATAGTCTAATTTAGTTATACTTTGTGCATTGAATTGAATTTTTGTACATCCCACCGATCCACAAAAGTGTTTCAGTAGCTGTAATCCATTAGAACCTGGAAGGTTGGAAGTAAAGGCCGGCAGAGTGCAGTGTCAGAGAAGCAATCCACTCCTCTTAAAGTTTACGTCGGCAACGGCGTTGGCACAAAGGTGGTTGGCATATGTGGGTGTCAGAGCATCTCCAATGGGAGAGTGCATTGCATCTGATGTGGCATAAGAGAGAGATAGAGATAGAATAAATATTGGGATGAAGTGATGTATAGGGAAAAATGAAAAAGAGAAATGAGATAGAGGTAAAAATGGATCAAGGTCTATGACAAGGTCCATATATGGACCTTACACGGGATTCGAGGAGGAAAAGTTGATGAAAAGTGAGTTAAAAGTGATATAAAAAATGAAAATGAAAATAAATTGTAAAATATGTGGGTCCTACACATAAAATTTGTGAGATAAAAAATGGGACCCATGTGTAAGGGTGTGTAAGAGACCACACTCTTGCATTGGAGATGCTCTCAAGTGATCATCTACAAAGTGTAAAATTGGTACAAAGGTGGTTGGCATATGTGGGTGTCAAGTGATCATCTACAAAGTGTAAAGTTGGTACAAAGGTGGTTGGCATATGTGGGTATCAAATGATCATCTACAAAGTGTAAAATTGGTGTCTATTTAGCTATTTGGATGTTTTTAGTTGGAATGAAGTATTTTGTTTTGTCTGATCTGATCTGATCTAGTCTGTTTATGTGTAATATGTTCTAGTGTGATCTTGTCTCGTAGATATCTGGTCTTTGTGTATTTTACAACTATTGAGATATTGTCTGGTTTGATATGTTTGAGTTTGATCTGGTCTATTTAAATCTGGTCTTGACCGTTCTTGTTTGATGATGGAAAACAATTCAAATAAACACATCATTATAGTACCTCACAAGTCTAGTAAGTACTAGTACTACGTATTACTAGTATTTAGTTATAGAGTACTCTTCCGGTCAGGAATTCCTGACGGGAACCGCCGTCCGAACGGCGGCGTTTGGCTGCCTTCCGGATGGAATTTTTTGATGAAATTTTTATGACATGTTTTCCATCAAGTCTAGTTTATCCACAAAAAAATTCAGCCAAAAACTCATTCGGGAAGGTCGTCAAATGATTTTTGCAAGTTAACTGGTCCGGAAAATACATGTCCTACATATTGTCAAGGGTTTGAATCCCTGCTCCAGTTTTGTTTATTTTTTTTGTTGCTTTTTCCCTTAAAGCCTTGTACAAATTCTAAGTGGTTTTGCATTATTTTTATAACTTTTTTCTTGTTGGAAAGATCTGAACTACATCAATATAGTTATCATTCTAGATTAACATATGAAATGATTTTGTACATAATATCAACTAATTTATTAAATATACTTGTGAATTTTTAATTTAAATTCATTCTAAGTACATGTTTGATCCTTCCCTTAGTTGATTCATTTATATATTGATATAATTATATTTTTCCCAAATTACAAATGTGATGTAACTACTGATGTGATAAACTTATTTCTAACAAAGTGAAATTTAATTAACGTGATATCATAATGTTTTTGTCTAGAGAATATTTTGTTATTTATAATTGATTTTACATTTTTTTCTTAATCTGATTAGCTTAATTTTTTTTCTTCTTAACTCGCCCCCACTAATGTATTTTTCTCGATATGCCATTGCCTCAAATATCATAATGATCGGATGTTGTTGAGTTTGAGTTTTAAATACAGAGCACTACGTATTACGTAATACATACTAGTAAATAATACGGAGTACTTTCTCACCGCTACAATGTTTTTGGTGTAGTTATTGTTCTTTACTTGTTCCTTAAGATATTCTATTTGTACACCGCGAAGAAGTCGTTCGAGCTACTTCTTTGGTTAAAGACGGCTGCATTTACCATTTTTGTGGGTATAAAATAAGAATTTTTTTTTACCATTTCGTATGGGACAAAAATTAATGTCCACTTATTTCACCCGTCAAAAACATTTTTCGTATCATAAATATGGAGAAACATGTGTCTACTTTTATGAAGGCACAGGATCCATATCGTGTGACTTTCTAGACATCTACTTTAGTACTAATAAAGTAGAGTCATCTCAATGGAAATTGATTTGTGATAAAATTGCTATTGAGTCCAATTATTGCAATTTTTAATTTTTAGATTTTTCCCTTAAAATTCTTCAATTTAAATAAAGTACTACGTATTTCAAAAGAATTTAAAGTCTAAAATCATGCCGTCAAAAAAGCTAGGCATGTTAAATTCAATGGATGGTGCTTCATAGGCAGATGAGTATTGTCGGTTAGGCTTATTGATAATTTTTAGATTTTAGATTTATTTACAATCTAATCTTCAAATTATCCATAAGATTATAAAACCATATAAAAGATTCATAAAAGTAAGAAAGATTTACAATGAAATATAGATAATATATACTCCCCCCCCTTTTTTTTTGAAATCCCCTTCGTCCCCTTTTAAATGTCGCATTTTATCATATTGGGATGTCCCTATTTAATTGTCTCATACCTAATTTCGTAAAATTTGTGTGGCTCAAAATCATTCTTACTTTAATCTTACTTTATTCTTACTTTATCAATTAATATCAACAATGCAAACCCACTTTTGTTAAAACTCATGTCACTTTCTTCCCGGACATTTAAAAGGGAACGGAGGGAGTACTTCAATATGGTGACTATATCAAAGCAATATGGGATCTATAGTGTATAGGTTTGTATTAACGATTATGTAATTTATTTATTTTTTTTATCATAATTTATTTCTTATTATAGGTTTGTATTAACGATTATGTAATTTATTGCGTTGTTGATATTAATTGCGTTTTTAATTTAGAATTTAAAAATCTGCCCTTAGAATTTATGAGGATGCCCTCAGAAATTTTGTAACTATTGGTTAAAATGTTTAAAACTTTATTGATCAAGTACGGAGTATATATATGATCAAGTAGCTTACATTTACAAGGATGGAAATTCATATCATCCGTGTAAATATATATTTTTATATATATTTTCACAAGTAAATACGTTTAATCCAACCAAAAAAGTAAATATGTTTAGTTAATCGAATTCTGAAAAGGAAATCGCACCTTTTTTCTATCTTTTATCATTTCTTATTTTTTTGGTTATTTAAAAACATATGAGTGGGTTTTATTAAAATTGCCAATTCCTAAATATAGTTCTAATTAACCCATCGATCCAATTCATCAACTTCTAACTATATAGTACGTATTCCCTCCGTCCCTGAATGTTGTTCCAATTGCGGATTACGAAAGTTGACCGACGATAAAGTTAAATGATCCATGTGAAAACTCGGACTATTTTTAGTAAATAAAATTTACATATTCAGAAATTTCATTAAACCCGCTACCAAAGCCTGCAAAAAAAATCAATTTTCATAAAGTTTTGATACAAAAAGTAAGAGTTTAAGAGTGATTTAAGTTGATTCTCGAAAAGCGGAATGGAACTAAATTCGGGGACAGAGGGAGTATTTAGAATGCTCTATTATTTTTTAAAATGACTCTTCATTTTTAAAGCCGCTCTTGGTGTGATAATACATAAGTCCCTTCCTTCTCGCTTTTGTACTGTTCAAAAAGTATATAAAAACTTCTAGTTATATGTTTGACATGACAATTTTTAAGAGTTTTTCAAAAATTAAAAGATCTTTTTTGAGATGCTACGGGGAGTAGTATATGAGAAAAGCCTGTGACTTTTAGTACTAATTAGTCCTAACAGCTTGTATACCAAATCGAACTAAATGAAACAACCAACTTTTTACCAAACCGCTACCACCTTTTTCCTTTTAAGATCTTTTCAGTCACTAAAAAGAAATAGTTATTAAAAAGCTCACAAAAGTATCTTTTCTGCTAGTTTTGCCGAACATACCCACAGAGCACTAAAAATACCTATATATATTATATATATATTATATAAAATTAATTAGTAAGTGTATATTTACATACAAAACGACCTATGAAGTAGAAGAATGTAGTAGGGGAATGAGAGCACATACGAGATTTAGGTTTCTATGTCGGAGAGGTACCATGTTCGAATCCCCCTGGTCTACTTTTTTGTTTTCCAAAACTATTTTAATTAAATAGACCAAAACTACGTCGTTTTGGCCTATTTTAATTAAATAGAACAAAACTATTAGTAATGATTCTATTATAGAATATTTCCAACAAACCTTTTTTGTTTTCCAAAACAATTTTAATTAAATAGACCAAAACTACGTCGTTTCGGCCTATTTTAATTAAATAGACCAAAATTATTAGTGATGATTCTATTATAGAATATTTCCAACAAATGAAGCTTAGGAGGGTACATCTGTAGAATTGTTGAATGCTTTTTACATGTAATTTCTTGCTTTATAATACCTTAATGTTTTGATGGTGGACGTTAACTATGAAGTGTTATACTTC